ACAAAAAACCAACAAAACAAAACAAAATGAAACAAACTTCCCCCCAAACAGCTGATTAATCTTTTATAGTGAAAATATTTTATCTTTAAAGACAAACATCTTATACATGGAGAGAAAACACAGGATACTTACAACATTCAATAATGAATTTTGCTTGACAATATTTCGGTTATGATGGATAAAATAATTTTTTTAGGTATTTAGTACAGGGTCTACAGGATCTCACTACACAGATTGGACTTGTAGTGATCCTTCCTGTTCTTCGTCCTCCAAACCACTGGGGTTACAGGTGTGCTCCACCATGCCCAGTCTTATTTGTTGTCTCTGAATTCCCTGGTGGCTGGGCTGGTACAGTAGGATGTAATAATTTTGATGGGCTACTTTTGATGGATTTATGGCCTAAAATGTTTTAGAATGTTACATGTGAAGAAAACAGGAAAAGTATTTTCAGATGGATAGGGATCTTTTTGTTTCTTCCCTCTCTCCCTTCTTCTTTTCCTTTCTCCCTGTTATCCTCCCTCCCACCCTCCCTCTCTTCTTCCCTCCTTCCTTATTTCCCTCTCTTCCTTCCTAACTTCTGTCCTTCTTTCTTCTTTCTTTCTTTCTTCTCTTCATCTTACTTCCTTTCCTCTTTTCCTTTCTTCTTTCATAAAAAAACCCCAAGTATATTCATATGAAAACAAAATCTGGGCTTCTGTCCCCATATGCAAGCTGTCAGGTGAATGGAGTTCCATTTGGGCACTGCAGCTTGTGCTGGTTGTCACCTCTGTTCACCCAATCCTAGCCTGGCTTACTCTTGGTGACTACCTTACTTTTATATATGCATTTCAGCTTGTGACCCCTAATTTTCTGCATCAGATAAGGCATCTTTTATAGAAGAATCACGGTGCTAAGAACAAATCTAACATCTCAGAGTTAATGCCACTTGAGTTTCTTAGGAGGGAAACTGAGAAAGAGAAGATAGGGAGAGATCAGCTTGAGGTCATGTAGTCATGGACTGGACTGTAATGTGGGCCTAGACTCCCTTGCCCCAGGGAGTCTACTCCCTGCTGTGCTCTCTTCCCTGTGGCTTCTCAATCCCCCATTAATGGCAGCTTTTCTCTCTCCTCCACTAGTGACCGGCTTCGCACGATGACAAATGTGTTGGGGGACTCGATTGGAGCGGCTGTTATTGAGCATTTATCCCAGCAGGAGCTGGACCTGCAGGAAGCTGAGCTCACCCTTCCCAGCCTGGGGAAGCCCTACAAGTCACTCATGGCACAAGAGAAGGGAGTGTCCAGGGGTCGGGGTGGAAATGAGAGTGCCATGTGAGGGTCCTCCAAGCCTGCTGCCTCGTGAGAAGGGGAGTCCTGGGGACAGTCTGCTATCCAGCTGACCATGGGCTGAACCTACATTTTGCTTGGCTTGTTGGGGGGCACAGTGAGATAAAGGATCAGGAATGAAAGGTGTTCAAGGTCTCTGTTTGTCTCTGGGTTTATGTTGAGAACTTGTGGGAGGGTGTGACAAAGAAAAGAGGGGGAACATTTGTCCTTGATTTGGGAGCAGGGAAGCTTCAGGTTCAACAAGAAGAAAGGCCAACTCTTGTCACTTTTCTCAAGAAGTGGTGCAACTGAAGAGGGTATAGGGAACAACTTTCTCACAATAAAACAATATTCATGGCCTTTGTGTTGGGATCCCCAAGCACATTCAGTGATTCACTGCAGCAATTTGTAAAGTTCAGAAAAGCCATTGTACTCATGATTCTGTTTTATCACAGTGAGAGATAAAGATTAAAATCAACAAAGACAATAGGTGGATCAAACATAGTCCAGGAGAGACCACATAGGAGTTTCCTGTAACTATCTGCCCACCAGAGGAATCACTGGCAGCACTTATTTCTCTCAGCAGTGATACGTGCCAAGGTGCATGGTGTACAGTCCACCAGGAATCTTATTTGAGCTGTGGTGTCCAGAGTTTAATTGAGCCTTGATCACATGGACGAGCTTAGTTGCAGATGTTTCACTTACTATGTAGGTCAATTTGATACAGCCTGGCCCAAGGTCTCATGTGAACAAACAGTGATTCATCATAGATCATAATGTTATAGACTCTCTGGCATGGCTTGAAGCAACCAGTCACAGACACTCAGTTGTTCAGAAAGTCAGAAATCATCTCCCAGGAGGCAATCAATACCAGCTCTTTCTTTGGGATATGCAGGCTTTGAGCACCCCAAGACCTAAATCAACACTTTACTGCACAGATTCCAAGATTGGAAATGAAGGAATTAGGTTCTCTTGGGAAGATTAACTGGGTCTAATAACTGGGACAATTAATTGACCCATGACTCTGGACCTGCACTTCCACTGAGTCTCCATAGGAGTCCTGCACCCTAAAGAATCAGGTTGGGCATCAAAGATACAAGATAAGTAAATATAGGTGTCTTAGTCCATTTTATATTGCTATAGCACAATGCCTGAGGCTAAATAATCTATAAAATAAGGACGTTTATTTAAGCTCATAGTTCTGGACTTTAAGGAGTCCAACATTGGGCAGATGTATCTGGTGAGGACCTCATGCTGAAGCCAGAAGAGAAAGCACACAAAAGCAAGAGAAAATAGAGCTGAACCCATTAACTTGTTTTTGTCTTATGGATATTAATCCATTTAACATCCATATTATTATTATTATATGGATGTTAAATAGATTCTGTCCCCAGAGGGGACAGAGGGTTCTGTCCCCATACCTGAATATCCCCTAAAGGGTCATTCCTCCCAATACTGCTACACTGAGGGACAAGAAATATTGAAGGGCATACTCAAATCAAAGCACAGAGATCAACATGATTCTAGTTAAACTTTATGACTCCTTCAATTAAGAAAGATGATAAATTTTTCTAAATCAAATTGAGTTTCACTTCAGCACATACTCCTAAGTGAGGGGGAAATCCAAGTGCAGATATGTTTTAGGACACCTCCCTTTTCATTCTTTAGGGTTCTAACACAGCCCTGGAGTATAAGAAGTTAAGAAACAAGTTGAGAAGTTGAGAAACAGTATAAGAAGTTAAAACTTGGTCCTGGGGAAAGGCAGTCAGATTTTCTGTAATTTATTTGTAAGCATCACAGAGACAGTTATGGTCAGAGGTCAGAAACAGTTCACACAAGGGCAGGAGGCCCCTTTGCTTTCAAATTCACCATGGAACACCAGGGAACTTTTCCAGGCATTTTGATCTCCATCTGTAGTTTTAGCCTCCATCTGGAACTTCACCCCACCCATGGCCAAAGGTCTGCATCTCTACAAGGTTCTGTGTACAGAAGATATGATGGGTCAAGGGACCAAAGGGTCCATCTTTGACTTGTGGAACCTCCTATACCCCTATTTTCTCTGTGTTCATCAACTTACCACGATGCAACAAATGGCTTAGATAATAAGGTTATAGTACTTGGGACGAGAAAAAGGATGGGGGTCTAGCATTCTCTTTTGGGACCATGCTTCAGGACCTGAAGACCTCCTACTAGGTTCAACCTTTCAAAATTCCCATCACTTCCCAGTAGCACTGAGCTTGGAACCAAGACTTTAACACATGGGTCTTTAGGGAAATTCCAAATTATAGCACTCTGGGTTTTTAGATATAAATGCTTTTGTCCCCTGAGCTAAGGGAAACATTATTTGTGGTGGAGAATGGTGAAATGGATGAGATTATGTTTTCATGCTTTCATGTGCACTGTGGCAGGCAGAACAAGACATAAATTTTATTTTCAAATGCAGGCAGTCTGTTGTGAAGTAGATTACTTGCTTTTTGGATGCATTATGAAAAGGGAAGATGATTGTGAAATGGGGAGACTGAAATCTAGCTGGAATTCACAAAGAAGAGACAGAGCTTCACAAGGATGAGATAGAGCCTGTGACCGTTTCATTTCTTCTTGCCATAATCATGAGTGTATCCTGCAGGGTCAGGAGTCATTTCTCATCATCCAAACACATGAACACTTAGCCCAGGGGACAGTGAAGTTGAAGGAGAATATAGTGAAATTGCAGAGTCAGGTGCTACTCAAACCAATGAGTAAGTCATCTGCAAAATGCTTGCCACCAAATGAGTGCTAATTCTGTTGACCCAGCACACAGATAACCTGCAGACATGTGACCTCTTCTTTCCCGTGTTTCTTAAAAAAGGAACTCTGGTCTGGTTTGTGGTCTAGTTATCAGCATTTCTCTAATGTCTATTTTCTGGTTTGAATAATATACTGAGAGTATGTCATCCCTGGAGGAGGTTGAATGAACAGAACACAGGCTACATTGGGGGTACTGTGGTCACCAAGCAGTGGAGGTCTCTCTTGGTCTATTCAGGAAGGCCATAAATGTTTCCTATGGCCTTTATTAGTCTTCCATAGTTTCTGCAACAAATTATCACAATCCATGGTACTGCTAGGAATTAAGATTATGAAAATGCAACAAATGCATATAAAATTTGAAGGTCAGAGAATGTTTTCTTTCTCTTGAAGTTTGATTTTGCCCCTTGTATCATATAGACATTTGTCAAGTCTTTGATATGTAATATGTATCAAAAGTGAAGTATTTCTAATCATCATTACTCATTTTCCTCTGAAAATAGAGCTAAAGCAAAATTAAACATGTAAACAAGATTAAAATTCACAGAGGATTCTCTTATGAAAAAGTCAAAGTATGAATCATTTAAAGAGCAAAATAATAGGTAGATAATAGGAAAAAGAGATGGATATTTTGCAAATGATTTGAGTGTTCAGGTGTATGCCACTTAATATCCATTTGTTTGTAAAATTTCGGTGGTTTCTTTTGCAATTGATTTTTAGTTTCAGTGTAGTCTGATCTGATAGTGAATATTGAATAATTTTTATTCTTTTGTATTTACATAGTCCAGTGGTCCATAATAGTAGTCGGTTATCCATAGGACTGGCAATGTCAGAAGTTGTTGACTTGAGCCTTTTACAGCTCAGCATAATAATATGGCTTTACTTTTTATACCTCACTTTTATACTTTTCTGTTGGATGGTTAAGACCAAGATAAAGCAAGACCTATATAACAAGAAATGTAACTTTTGTATCTGACAATGTCAGTCACAAGCAGGCTTTATATATTAGTAAGTGGTGGTCGATTTTGGAGAAAGTTTAATGTACTGCTCAATAATGCAGAATGTATATTCTGTTGTAGTAAGTTAGAACAATGTGAAAATGCCTATTAACTCCATTTGTTTAAAGGCATGGCTCAGTTCTGATATCCTTTGTTAATTTTTTGTTTTGTTGATTTGCCCTTTTGTGCCAGTGCGTATTAAGGTCCCCCACTATTATCTTTTTATTATTTTATTTTACTAATGCATAGTTGGAGTACATAATAATTATGTTTATTGTGGAGACTTGGTATATGTACATAACACACCTTATTTCTTTTTCCCTCTTCTCCCTTTTCTCCCTCCTCCCTCCATTTCTTGGTCCCATTCAGTTTTGCAAAAGATCTATCTCCTTATTCCCTATCATCTTTAATTTAGAGACAGCCTACAGAATGGAATATTTGGCCAGCTATTCCTTGGATAGAGGATTAATATTTAGAATATACCGGGAACCCCCAGACCCAGTCCCAGTCCAGGTCCGGTAAGTGTGTGGAGAGCTTTCTGCTACACTGCGCCGGCAGGACCAGTCCCAGCACAGGCGCAGCGTGGGCCGGACCCTCTCCCACACCCTCGGGCCGCCCCCCACCACTCCGCAGTACATCCCGTACCCCGCCCGCCAAGTAGGAATTTCTGCCACGTTCCGGGAAACTCCAGACCCAGTCCTAGCCCAGGTCCTGTGAGTGTGTGGGAGAGCTTCCTCTTCCCCCTACTTCACCTTGCCCCCTCCAGGCACAGCTCAGGCCTGGTATACACACCTGGGGTGTAACCCTGCAGCTGCAATCCCTGTAGAGAGTGTAGAGGATAGATCCACCCAGCTAGTCCAGAAGCAGAACATCTCGCCACAGGGGAACAACAGGTTCACCCTCAAGGGCAGAAGCGGGAAGGAGCTGAGCTCAGCAGCCAGACCCAAGCCAGACGCAGCTGGATAAGTCCAAACTTTGTAGAGCTGCACCTGAACTTCAGTACGTGTGAATGTTATAACTACAGCAAAGCTCTACAACAAAGGGCAGAAGACAGTGCTACACAAAATGATGAGAAGGAACAAAATGCAACCTCAGAACCCAAGCCCACCCATAACAAGTACAGACAACACTAACACAGAAAAAATTGGAAATCACACAGCTGAAAGCAATGAATCAATGGCTTCTGAAATAAAGAAACAGCTGCAGAGGGGGCCCAGCCTTAGCTCAGTTCTTTAAGTGGCTGCTTCCACAATGCTGGAAGCCTCAGTTTGCTGTAGTTCGATCCCCACAACACTCCAGCCATGCAAA